AAAGGGTAGGAAAGGAGTAGAGGCTTATAGTCCTAAAAATACGGTATATATATTTACTTCTTTAGTATACTTCTTTATAACTACACACATATATATTATTGTAATTTTATACTGCACCACAGGAATAACCTGTTTATAATACATGTTAAAAAAAAATAGTCAGTTCAATTAAGACAATCATTTGTAGAGGTGCATGGTTTAAAGCAGGGGTCACCAACCTTTTTAAGGCCGAGGGCTACTTCATGGCTACCGAGTCATAGGAAGGGCTACCAATACTGACCTATGAACTGGAGGGATCAGTGTTCACCTACAGTAAATCTCATCCATAAAAACTCATTTTTATTCTTATTTTAATCTTTTATTAATTTCTAATTTTCTTTTTAATATTGTCATTTTGAAACCACTTAAATACTGTATGATGAAATAGTTAACATGATGAAATAATACATAAATGATTTAAAAGAAGAGCAACAGAATAAAAAAAATTAAAATTAACCCACTGAGTGAGTTCTTCTGTTTTCAGAAGACGAAGAGGGCACCCCATGTAGTCCTTGAGGGCCCCTTGATGCCTGCGGGCACCGCGTTGGTGACACCTGGTTTAAAGTGTGTGGAAAAAAGTAGTGACTTATAGTCGGGATGGTACGGTATGTATTGTTGTGTTCAACAAATGGAGCGATATTACAGCTGAGAAGTACATAAACAGCAGGGTCAAATCAAAAACCTTGGCTAACTTCAGCTGCTCCTGCTTTGCTTGCCTTGTAACTTCTCTCTTCCCTGCTGCTTTATGGAAAATTTGTGGGAGTGTGTCATATCCTATGCTTTAAAACCATTTCCCTTGATGGACCTTTTTGGACAATGAAATAAAAGACCGTTTTAGAAAAAGATATCAGGCTGCAGAGTCTCATTCACAGGATGCTGTTGCATCATCTCCTCTGATGACAGTGACTTGGATGATTACTGAGGAGAGTACTTATCTAAATTGTACATTATTTATGGAGGGGTTTGCTGGGTGAATGTTGGCCACAGCAACGGGACTCGGAGAAGAGGAAGTTGCAGAAATTATCCATGGATGTTGCTCAGCAGTAGGCCTTTGAAGCCTGGCTGCCCTATTAGGAGAATATTAAAAAGAGAAGCTCCCAACAGAAACACCAGAGTTGCATGTTACTTTGTTGCATGGCTGCTATGACAAAAAGAGCTTGAAAATGGTTAAAAGTGGGTCAGAAATTAGGCAAGATGTAGGTTTTGTTCGACATGTACTTTAGGAGTGGGCTATGTCTCTAAAAAAAGGAGGTTAGCATGATGTTGCTTTGTGTGAGTGGTGTGCCGATGGAGGAAAGTAGGGCTGAAAATAGGTCATAGCTGCATTAAACACCAGTTTTTCTTTTTTTATGGCTTAGTGTTTGAATACATGGTGGACATCAAGTGGACAGTCATAGTTGGAGTGATGCTGTGAAACCAAGAAGTGACATTTCAGAAGTCACGCCTTCTGTCATTTAAAGGTTACACCAAGCATCAGTAAAAGAAGTGACTTATTAAACATGCCACAATATCTGAGAGGGAAGCTCCGCTGTGGGTTTCTGGAATAGGATGAAAGAGTGGAATGAGGAAACTTCTAAGAGTGATGGGATATTCAAAAAGAGAAGAAGAAGATACTGTATGAAGAGACAGAAAAAAAAAAAAAACCTTTTGAGAACTATTGTCATACTGTTATACCGTCTAGTAAATACTGCTGTAGGTCATAGTTTTATTAAAACATTTTGCGTGTTGCTAAAAATGAAAAATCACTCTGGGAACATTTCTTTAAACTACTGAGAAGGATGTAGATGAGGTAGCCATGAAATAGCAGCAGTCCATTTGGATTCATGGGATCCCTGTGCTTTGCACTGATCCCTGAGTTGCATCCAGTCTGCTACACTTGAAGATGAACACACTCTGAGGGGAGAGGAATTAATATTTGATATCAAGTTTCACAGGGAGACAGACAGGCCAAGAGAACAGCACAGAGATGTGGACAATGACAAGCTACTGGGCTTCCATAAATTTAAAAGCAATGCCCTCAAACTAAAAAAATAAACAAAACAGGTGTTCACAATGTTACAGTATATTTACTACTTTTGTGTTGATCCAAACCATGTATAATGAATGCAATTATTGATTTATTTAAATGTTTTTGTCTAGAAAAATGCTACCTGTATGAAACATATGACTGACAGATATACATAAGGGCAAGGAAAGAGATGAATTCAGCAATTGATTCAGATTCATTCGGATTTACTTTGCCTGAAATCTAAAAAAATAAAAATACACCAAAAATGTAAAAAGAACTATAACATATTTTAAGTCTCAGTGCGTCAGAACGTAATTATTGGGTGAAAAGGAAACATGCCTAAAAAAAAAAATAAATTAAATTCCTCTTAATGAACAACAAATAATAGAAAATAACTAAATAGGGTAAAATCATAATACTATATCCATTAGAACAGCCAAAGGAGGTACAGAAATACAAGTTTATATTGCCCTGTTGCCCTTTTTTATTAAGATTTAAATTGGTTTTGTAGGTATGTCAAGTGGACAGTCATTTACACTTGGCAGTGTTAGAGGATTATACAGTAATCTGAATATAAGAATTAGTGCTGTTCGCTCTTATACTAGCTGACCTTTAATAATGACTTTCAGCGACACCTAGTTCTGCTGCATTATTCCCCAGTAATGTGTTGCTGGTTGAGAATACCAAAGTCACTTTAACTACTTTCACATTCTTTCTGCCACATCTTTATTTCCTTGGTTCATGATGTTTATAAATGAGGTCAGGAGAAGTCCTGATTAGATTTTCTCTATCTGACTATAGGACAAGGTCAGAAACTACTTGACCAGTTAGACAAAGAGAAAATAGGCGTTGTTGCTAAAGCTCTGATTCAATATATTTTATGGAGATATAAAATATCATATTTTGGCTTGGATGCACTGCTGCATGCTTAATATACCATCCTGCATTATGAAATTTAGGCAGGATCGGGATGAGTCGGTAATCAAGATGACACACAGAACACACACACTGTTTCTGCTAGAGTAAAATGTGTCGTTTTATTCCGCCACAAAATACAGCAAAGCAAGCACATCAATCAAGGCACGGTGCTGAATACAAATTATATTGTTCCAATACAAATTATATTGTCCCCCTTACCGTGACACAAAGGAGCCAGTCGACCCCGGCAGGGCAGCAACCTGTGCAGCTAGGCGTTCGTACGCAACCCTAGCAGACTCTGCCAGGGCCTACCGCCACCCGCCATTTATGCCAAACTTCAAAGGAAAATCTTTCCAATCAGGAAAAGTGATTTCTCCCTCTCAAGCCTGGAGCACATGATTACAGAAACCAAAATATGTTTCCAGCATCTCCCGAACCCACCCAGGGCTCGTGGACAGCCGAAACCAACAACTAATTAAATCATGGTCAGAGCATGGCACCGAGAGCTCGTGAGTACAAAAACAAATTATATCACGCTCTTAAGGAAACAAAAACTTAAAATGTGAGAGTAGTTAGGTAATAAGAGTGCTTCATTTGTGATACAAACTTGTATGATTGTCAAAGAACAAAAAATATAAAACCCATATATATCACATCTTCACTGAGAAACATAAAAAAAAATATATATATATATATATATATATATATATATATATATATATATATATATATATATATATATATATATATATAAACAAGCAGTACAACTTTCATACCATATATTTGGATACTTGGAAAATAATTCCAAATATTAAATTATTCAACATTCAATATATTCCAAATTTTTTTCAGCCTATTGAAGTATGTATATAAAAGCTAGAATTCTTTCCCTTTTTCTTTTGTATTCTTTTGCTTTGTGGATCAACCACGTAGTTTTCCATATTGAATAACATGAGGAAACACTGCATTGCCATATAGATAACATTAACTTTGGCCTATATGGGAATGCAACCATCTTTTTATCCATTTTTGTTTCCATAAAAAAATACTTTTTTTGTGTTAAATTGGAATTAAAAACTCTAACAGTTGCTTAAAAACAGTTGAGGAAACATATATTTACAAAGATTTAAAAAAATATGGAATAGTATTGTTTTTCTAGCAGCCTGGTAATCTGTGCTGTCTTAGTGTCTGAAACAGGATTCTAATTCTGTTGACCAAAAATCAACCAGGCCAGATAGGATTGGATGCAGGATCAATTGAACTGCAACACAAACTGACTGTGAGCATGCATGGACATTAAATATGGCAATATTGCAGAGTAAAGAGATGTATTTAGGATGTAAAGCTTGCAATCCAATAAAACTGAAACATAATTGCTTTCAGAGGATTTTGTTGCAACTTGTGAAGGTGAAAGATCAATACAGTACGATCTATGGGTCAGTAGTGGAGAGAAGTGGATGGATTTAAAAAATGTTAACAGTTCAGCAGGAGAACTGCTGATCAGAACAAAGCAGAAACTGTGACTAGGACTAAAAAAATAGATTTTTCTGAGACTGAAAACCCTAAAAATCGTATTGTTTTCGTTTTGCTTTTTTTGTAGGCTGCAAGACAAGCAACGATAAAATACAAATCTCTCTCTTTTTTTTTGACGTACTTAAAAAAGAAGAAAAATAAATCCAAACTATTTCTTAGTGTCTTAATGACTATTTATTATTGCTCCATAGGAATGGACAAACTTGATTAGCCCTAACCCCTGATATTGTTTTTCTAACGAAGTTCCATGACCATGATTCTTTTTTTAACTATATAACTAAAAACAATGTTTTTAAGTTATCAACATGTTTCTGTTGACATGATCAGTATCAGAAAACTGATTCTTCTGTTTTCCTGCACCTAAATACTTAAATTGGTGCATGATAATAAAACAAGAATAGTAAGACATGTTTTACATGTCAAAATCTGACATGGAACCCATAAATAAATGATCTTCATTCTCTTAATGGTTTCATTGGAATTTTTTCTTTTTCTTCTGCAGATGACGGGAAATTGTCTCTGGATGAATTCCAGGCTTTCTTCTCTGATGGCACTCTGAATGAGGAGGAGCTGGAGAAGCTGTTTCACACCATTGACTCGGATAACACCAGGTTAGCATCCACATGCGCCACTGGAGCATGAAGTTAGGATGAAATGTTTCCAAGTTACTGCATGAAATTATTCCACATACAGGATCTTTTGAAATCCGTGCATGTTTTTCTGCTCAGTGCACCGTGAATTTCTGTTTTGATCACTACTTATGAGCAGTTTTGTAACCAAAGGGTCGGTGAACACAGCTGTTTCTCGGCTTTACAGCCTCTGTTTACTACTTCAGTTGTTTGTGTCTAGGGGATATGTCTGAGCAAAAGATGTGGGGGGTGAAATGTAAAAATCGCTTTTTATTGCACTGAGGGAATTTCCCAGATGAGTTCAGGTTGAACCTTTCGCCTAAAAGCGTTTTACATCAAATTTCTGATATCAACATGTCTGGAGAATGAAACATGAGTTGAAAAAATGGGAGATAAAACTTGAAGTAGCCTAGAAATGCAGGGAACTCAAGCCATTGCAGGCAAGCAGGAGGGCATGTTAGTTAGGAAGAAAACCTGAAATATCTGATGAAATCTAGACTGAAATAAGGTTGCATGTGGTGCTACAGGGATGGTTAGGAACATATCTTTAAATTTGTTCACTTAGATTGAAAATATTGATAAAATAAAGTACAGTACTTCAAAAAGGCTGAATCATACTTTTCACTATTGATTTTATGATTATGAGTTAAAAAACCTGAACACCATCTGCCAAACCACACAAGTTGTTCAGCATGACTTTTATTGATCAAACTGAAAAGTGTATTTTTTTTTTTCAGTGATACAAGTAAAATTCATTCAAACAGAACATTAAAGACTCTCCTTGCTAGTTCAGCCTCATTTGCTTTTTATTGCGTTTATGAGCTGTTGAATAACGAAACAGCTGATTTGACAGTTTGACAAAGTGTTCATACTTATGTGAGATCAAAGTAGAGTTATTTTGGCAAACAACCAAATAAATGTTTATTTAAAATAGAAATGGGGCATTTTGGAGTAAACATTAGTTCAGCTTTACAGCACAATGGAATATGGCTCATAATTTGGTTACCCTCAGAGTCCTTGAGTTACCAATGATCCAACTTTTCTACTTCACTGAGGTTTTGTGGGAAGACCTGAGGTGAGCTGTGAGCTGTAAGCCTCAATACATTGAGTAAATTTTGCAAGCATAGTGAGCAAAAATCCTTGGATTCAGGAAGAGCAGTGTGGTTTTCGTCCTGGTCGAGGAACGCTGGATTAGCTCTACACCCTCAGCAGGGTCCTGGAGGGTGCATGGGAGTTCGCCCAACCTGTCTACATGTGCTTTGTGGACTTGGAGAGGGCGTTCGACCGTGTCCCTCGGGGGGCCCTGTAGGGGGAGTACGGGGTGCCGAGCCATTTGATACGGGCTGTCAGGTCCCTGTATGACCGGTGTCAGAGTCTGGTCCGCATTGCCTCGTTTCCGGTGAGATTTGGACTCCGCCAGGGCTGTCCTTTGTGATTCTGTTCATTACCTTCATCGACAGAATTTCTAGGCGGAGCCAAGGTGTTGAGGGGATCCGTTTTGGTGGCCTTAGGATTGCGTCTCTGCTTTTTGCAGATGATGTGGTCCTATTGGCTTCATCAGGTCGTGATCTGCAGCTCACGCCAGATCGGTTCGCAGCCGAGTGTGAAGCGGCCAGGATGGGAATCAGTGCCTCCAAATCTGAGGCCATTGTCTTGAGCCAGAAAAGGGTAGAGTGCCTTCTCCGGGTCAGGGGAGTGTCCTGCCCCAAGTGGAGGAGTTTAAGTATCTTGGGATCTTGTTCACGAATGAGGGAAGAAGGGAGCGGGAGATCGACAGGCGGATTGGTGCAGCGTCTGCCGTGAAGCGGGCGCTGTACCGGTCCGTCGTGGTGAAGGGAGATCTGAGTCAAAAAGCGAAGCTCTCAA